GGGGATTAAGGTCTGCAGAGGGATGGAGAATAGCTGTGTACTGCTGTAGACTGTCCACTCCTCTCAGTAAGTTACTCTGAACGAAACTCTGTGTAAACGGTATAGAGTGGTTTGCTTCATCTTTTGGTATTAAAGTGTCTTCTCAGTCTGGAGAGTACATTAGTGACTCTAACGATGACTGCAGATGGATGTTCAAGTTGGCAATATCAAGGTTACCTCTGTGCTTCACGAGAGGAGGTTTAATGAAGTCAGAAGTCTGGATGGAGTTAATGTGATAAAGAATGTGAGAAGAGGAATTGGAGGGACTATAGATGATGTTTTCAAGGAATTTTTCACAGAGAAATAAGGAAGTGACCACTAGTATTTTCTTCCCCTCTGCCTGGCTCCGAGGGGGCTCCCCTCACATCTTATAAAAGTGAAGTTTATATATATAACTATTCAAGCATAGCTGCTGACTGTGAGGTCCATCTGTGATAATCAACCTAGATATGATATCACCATAGAACTTTGGAACCAGATGAGACTATCAGAGTTAGTTCAGTTAATCTCCTACCCAATAAAGGGAGCTTTGTTTTATTATTAATACAAAAATACTTTTTTGTATGCTACCTAGATATTCAGAGGTGAATAAGGCACAGTTGCTGCTCTTGAGACAGATTTTTTTTTTTAATGGAAAGAGGCATATATCCTTCCTGCGTGATTAAAAATTAAGATAGAGGCACCTGCAAAATATTATGAAGGCCCAGGGCAGAGACCTAACTTACCTGGGGAAGTGATGAAAGATGATATGATGAAAAGCTAACACTTGAACTAGACCTTAAAGGTGAACATGATGTTTTCCAGGCAGAGGGCTAGGCAGAGTGCTAGGGCAAGAGGACCAGGTCCTTATACACCAGGATGATCAATCATTCAGGGCCGTTTATCCTGGGAAGGGGCATGACTTTGGGCAAGATGGTTGTCTTCAGATGATGCAATTCCCAAAGTGGGCTGATAGCTGAAATCTATTGGCAGGGGCATTAGTAACAACAGTTGCAGTAGTTAATCCTTTATTTCTCATCATTTTTTAAAAGTTTATTTATTTTGAGAGAGAGAAAAAGAGGGAGAGAGCATAGAGAAAGGGCAGAGAGAAAGAGGGAGAGAGAGAGAATCCCAAGCAGGCTCTGCAGTTTCAGCATGGAGCTTGATGAGGGGCTTGAACTCAGGAGCCATGAGATCATGACCTGAGCCGAAATCAAGACCCAGATGCCCACCCAACTGAGCCACCCAGGTACCCCTAATTCTTTATTTCTGAAGGAAATAATCTTTAGGGGATCCGGGTGATACAAAAGAGGAATCTCACAGACTGCTAATTCTCTCAGCAGTTATTTTGGAGATAGATAATAGAAGGAAAAAGTACTTGTTTTTGTTTTTTATTAACAAATAAACATCATGAACATCACAGTGATGGGGGGTTCAACATAATGGTTCTAGGCTGATGGAAACCAATGTACAACTGTACCTTCCCTGTTAATGATCTCAGTCATGGTGGCCCTTTATATGTGAATGCTTCAAAGATGCTCAAAAGGCAAGGTGAAGAAGTACACTCATGCAATAAATGTGACTGGGAATCTTCATTAGGAGATAAAAATGTAAGCGGGGAAGCGTAGTGAGCTGCAAACTGAATTATATCCCTGTCCTTCATCCTAGAAGATGATACTTCTTGTGGGTGATCACTGTGCATGCTGGGTGCCTGCAAAGATGGATGTGTGGCCACCAGTCCTTTCCACTCCATGCACACATGAAGATTGCTCTTTGATTTGTGGCTTTGGCCATAAGTTGCAAAGCCTGTCACTGCTTGCAACTTACAGTTAGCCCAAAGCTTTGTTGAAAAAGAGCCGTCCCATTCCCAGCTGCTGTACACCAGACTGATGTGTCAACTAAATTAATAACACTGGACCGCTCATTATACCAGAAAACATTTGCCCAAGCTATAACTCTGTCTCTTGATTTCTGTTTGGCTTCATTAACCTCTTCTTGGTGTCACAATAAAATGGTCGTGTAAGGTATCCTTTATGGAATGAAGGACTGGCAAGATAAAACAGTTGGACTGGGCATTGATGGGAGAAAGGTCTCAGAAAGGATGATCGTGGAGGATGATGGAATTATGAATTAAGAGGAGAATATGGTGGTGGTGGGGAGAGATGGAGCCATATTAGTTTCTCTCTCTTCTTACTTTCACCTTCTATTCTTAGATTTCTTCACATAGTAGCTGGTGGTTTCTCTAGGAGCTCATTTATAATTGTGAGCAAGTTTCAAGAGAAGACTAAGAGATGGGGTGCCTGAGTGACTAAGTCAGTTAAGCATCCAGCTCTTGATTTCATCTCAGGTCATGGTCTCATGGTTGGTCTCAGGGTTTGTAAGATCGAACCCTGATGACAGCAAGGAGCCTGCTTGTGATTCTGTCCCTCTGCTCCTGCCTCCTTCCCCCACCTCCACCCCATAAATAAACTTAAAAAAAGAAAAGAGAGAGAAAAGACTAAGAGGGTAGAGTTAGTATGCACTAATTTTTTAAAAAAATTATTTTCATTAGCATGGACTTATTTACTATGGGCCCTCAGGGATTATCTCTCAGGGCATGCTCTCTATTTGGACCAGCCAGTGGTCTCAACGATAGATGGAGAGTCTTGGGTATCAAGAACCCCCTTGTGATAAGATGTTCCCTTATCATAGAATGGGTTGAGTTACTTCGTTTGCATTTGGGATCCCTTTCATCCTTAGCCTATACATTTTATTTTATTTTAAGGTATTTTTTAAGTCTGTTTATTTTGAGGGGAGAAGGGGCAGGGAAAGGAGAGAGAGAATCCCAAGCAGGCTCCAGGCTGACGGCAAAGAACCTGCTGTGGGGCTCGATCCCACGAACTGCGAGATCATGACCTCAGCCAAGATCAAGAGTCGGATACCTAACCGACTGAGCCACCCAGGTGCCATCTTAGTCAATCCATTTTAAGGCATATCTGGAAGCTTTGGCCATTTTCTTATATCTACTAGGCTTTGTGAAAACTCAAGTGAAAAAGGGAATTTGGGGACTCTTCAAACAAAACATTTTCTGGAAGTAACCAGGAAAACAAAGAGCCATTTCTCTAAAGCTATTCTGGTGGGAGGTTCTGTCACGGGCCTTCTTTCCTGTCGGGGTTCTCTGTAGACCCCTGACAAAATGGAATAAACTCTTTTGTCCAGGATTCCCACTGTCATCCTACAGCCTGAGGACAAAGTCAGTGTCACCTGAAGAATAGTGCTCGTGTTATAGTAGGAGACCACGGGCAGGGGCCGGCTACGGTTTCGAATAATCACACATGAAGCCCTTAATCTATTCTGACTCAATTCCCACGCCTTCCTGCCCTACCTGCTCTACTTCCCTGAATTCTCTAGTCCTGTGAAGCTCCTCTCTGCCTGTATGTTGAAGCCAGAGGAGGGAGCTATGATAAGCACCATTTCACCCTTAGCAGAAAGAATTGCCCTCCAATGACTAAGCCTCCACTGTTTCATCGTCGATTGCCTGTGGGAACTGTGAAAAATTCAAGCCGCACGAAGCAATCATAGTTCTGGCAGAGCCAAGGAGCTGGCAGCTTTCATTGCCGAATCAGGGTCTTTGGATACCAGCTGGATATCTCCCAACCTGTGTTTTTTTTTTTTTTCCTCAATAATGGGTGCCCAAAAAATACTCAGCAATTTCTCAGCTATATAAGAATATGTTCGTGAACTAAGACATCACCATATAATTTTGTTTAAAAGCCTGGTCTCTTGTGACTGTACTTTGAAGCTCTAGTTTGGGGGATAAGAAAGAACTGCCCCTTTTAGAAAGACACAATTTTGCTAGCCTGGATTGTTATAAAATGGAGATGAACTATCAGATAAAAGATAGGGGGCACTGACCAAGAAAAGAGATGCCATTACCCAGGAGGAAGTCAGGGGAAAGTGGATTGAGAGAGAAGGACAAGGCCGAGAGGGTCTTCATTTTGTGGTTTTAGATTTTTCTAGCTGTAAGGCGGAGATAAAATGCAGGGCTTGACATCTCAGAGCAGCAGGTGAAACACAGCTTAAAATGGGAGAAATTTAAAATGGCTTCTCCCTCTAAAGGAGGGAGAAAACATAAGATTCTCAGAATTGACAGAAGGTTATATGGATAATGCACTGGTCAGACCGAGACCCGTGCTATTAGAGAAGTAAGAGAAAGAACAGTCTTCTGTGTGCTGCTCTGAAATAAACCTTAATCATACATGAGCTCGAGTACAAGTGCTTCTTTCTAACTTGTAGCTCAAATACCCTGTGTGTGCCTTACTCTAACGTGGCAGATCTCATGGTCAGAGTGGAAGATGGAAAACTAAATGTGCTACTAATTCAACAGTTCTATCTTTCTAGAAAAACATACCGGCCAAATCTTCTACTACCATGTGTTTTTCTCTGGCATCCATACCGGAGTACCATCACCTGTTAGGCCAGTGCGTTTCTTCCACCTCCACCAATAGGTTTAAGGATAGATTGGTGGCATTTCCATTTATTCACTCTGATTGAGTGATGTACGTCCACAGTTGTGGAAGTTCAGAAGGCTCAGAAAAGGAAAAGTGTGTATATTCCTAGAACTCCTTTGACAGTGACACCTGACCTGAACTAATGTGAGGCCATTTAGAGTCTTTATCCCATTTAATGTGACTCTTTATATGTTTTGCAATAGAAATCCAGACATATTTGATTATAGGAAGCTGCTCTGTGCTCCAAGGATTTCAGACAATGAGAGTATACACCTATGTTGATTTTTCCACAGAATCTAGGAGGTAGTTTTAGGAAGAAAGGTGCTGCAGATGTTTGCAATTCAAACATCCCATTTTAAAAGGCACTATGTGAAAAAGTAAAAAATGAACACAAAATTTTGTACCCAATTGATCCCAACTCTGCCTCACCATCTTTGATTTTTTTTTTCTTTCTCTTCTCTTTTTCTTTGTTGTACATTTTTACTATTCTAGGATGAATCCTCCATGTTCTTCCAGTTCGGCCCATCAATTGAACAGCAAGCTTCCGTGATGCTCAACATCATGGAAGAGTATGACTGGTACATCTTTTCTATCGTCACCACCTACTTCCCTGGCTACCAGGACTTTGTAAACAAGATTCGCAGCACCATCGAGAACAGCTTCGTGGGCTGGGAGTTGGAGGAAGTCCTCCTGCTGGACATGTCCCTAGATGATGGAGATTCTAAGATCCAGAACCAGCTCAAGAAACTTCAAAGCCCCATCATTCTTCTTTATTGTACGAAGGAAGAAGCCACCTATATCTTTGAAGTAGCTAACTCAGTAGGGCTGACTGGCTACGGCTACACGTGGATTGTGCCTAGTCTGGTGGCAGGGGACACAGACACAGTGCCCTCGGAGTTCCCCACGGGGCTCATCTCTGTGTCCTATGACGAGTGGGACTACGGCCTCCCTGCCAGAGTGAGGGATGGAATTGCCATAATCACCACCGCTGCTTCCGACATGCTGTCTGAACACAGCTTCATCCCCGAGCCCAAGAGCAGTTGTTACAACACCCATGAGAAGAGAATCTACCAGTCCAACATGCTCAATAGGTGAGTGGGGAGCACTGCCGGCAGAGGTCCCAGGAGGGTTTTTAGGACTGGGGCGGGAGGAGGTTTGGAAACTCTGGGAAGGGCAGCTCAAGACGTCAGAGGTTGAAGGCCGGCCCCTGGGACGGCCGTGGTTTGTGATGGTGGGAGTGTTTCGGATCCAAAGCTTGCTGTGCCGGGTTCCTGTTCCAAGAAATAACAAAACAGCTCCCACTTAATTGTTCACTTACCGTGTGCTAGGTGGTCCTTTAAGTGTTTTTGCGTGTTTGACCTCATTTAAGCTCAAAGCAGTACTCTGTTAGACAGGTGTTAAGACTTGCTTCCATTTTATGCTACAAGAGAATAAGGTCTGTAGGTGCAAACCGTCCCCAGTCACTTGGCAAATAAGAGGTTCAGTCTGGAGCCGTACCCAGGCCTCTGTGGGCCCTGCATACTTGATGACTATAAAAGACACAATGGATGTAGGCGTGAGCGAGGACCCACCAGTCCCCTTACCTTAGGAATGCTGCTGTACGGGGAAGGAATGGAGAACAGGTGACATGCATCTGTAGGTACGTGAAGAGGGTTCTTTCCTTGGTTTTTGTCTCCTTCGCTTCTCCTCTCTGCCCTTACGGGTGAGGGTGGTGCTGGAGAGGCAGCTTCCATTGTTGCTCTCAGTCTGATTTCTTTAGTAGGAAGAACATCTAGGTGGAGTTCTGCTCCCCTGACCTCACCTCCTAATCCAGCCACGACTCTAGCACATCCTCTTGCGGGTAGTGTGTGACCATGAAGGGCAGAAGGTTCTATGCTGAGCTTCTGTAGTTCTGTGATTTGTATAAAACTGCTGCATGAGAACATTGTCAAAACTCAGGCAATGCAGAAGAGCACAAAGGAGAAAGAAAAAATGCCCTTCGATCCAACCGACCGGAGAGAACCATTGTAGAAATAATCAGTGAACATCTTTCTAGGCACTTCCCTGTGTGTGTCTACCTACAATCCACGTAAATCTATAATTTTACATAAGTGGAAATATAACTATACATGCTGTTTGATAACCTGACTTTCTTTTACTCAACAGTATTTTGGCGGCATCCATTTTAAATTCAGTATGAATTCTATCCAACAAATAGAAAGGGATGCAGAAGACACCTATTCGGATACCATTCAGCTTAAATAAAAGATCAAAGTATACTCTGGGGGGTGTCGAAATACATTTAGTGGAGGTTGAAGGTGTGTCTACTTGTTGAACCTCCGGAAGGGAGTTGGACTAAAGCCTCTCAGCTAAGCTCTTAATGCAGAATTGAAACTAAAGCTACTTGTAATGTGATCTGTGATCCATTCCTAGTATTGTTCCACCCTCTGCTCTGCATTCGGCTGTCCCTAGCTGTCCCTGCTTATTTGGTGCAGACCATCTTGGTTTTCTTCCAGCCTCCCCAGTCATTCCATCTCCAGGTCCTTGGCATGGTCGTCTTCAATATTGGTGCTTCTCTGGGTCCGTCCTAGACCTTCCTCTTCTGCCCTCCATTGCCAAGTGTACCGCTCATGTAAGTGGTCCCAGGTGACCACTCTGGCTAAACCTCCTCCTTGAGCCCCAGTCTGTATTGCTGACTGTGAGTAGGTATGTTCCTTTGGATGCCACGGGGCATTAGCACGCACCATACCCAAAGCTGAACTGCTTTCTCCTCCATTACCCTTCCATCCTCTTCCTAACACATCTGTACACCTATAAAGGGTACATCTTATTACCCAGTTTCCTAAAGTAAAAATGGCCAAGGTGTCCTGGCTTTCACATCCCCGCCGTCTCCTAGCTGATCATGCCCTTTCCCAAGGAATTCCTCTGGAGGGCTCTCGCTGTCTGCGTCCCCGCACCAGTTCAGCTCTTCTTACCTGCATTGCTGCAGGGCCTCGTAAATATCTTCCGGCTTCCAGTACTGCTTCCTCCCAATCTCCATCGCATCCAGAGTGATCTAAAATGAAAATGTGATTTCATCACTCTCCTGCGTAATGCCTTTCAATGGCTTTTCATTGCTCCTGTAATAAAGTCCCATCTCCTTGATATGGCTTATAAAGTCTTCCACGGCACAGGCCCGCCCGTCTTTCCAAAACTGTCTCATGCCACGCTGTCCCTCATACACTACATTCCTGCAATACCGAACCTCCTTTAGTTCTTTGAAAATCCTGTGTTCTTTCTCTCGCTTCTAGCTCTCTTCTCTGCCTTGACTATATTCCCTGGGAGCCCCTTCCCACCAGGACATAAACGCAGAGGCTTCTTCACTTGCCTCATTGCCATTCCTCAGGCTTCAGTCCTGACACTGCTTTCACGGAGGAAGCTTTCTTGGACCCTGGACCAGCGGGCACCCCTGTTACATGCCTTCAGTGCATCTGCTGCTTCCCCAGTAAAGCCAATCTTCAGACAGTTCTAGATCTTGAAAGCAGTGACCTTTCTGTCCTGAGATCCATATCCCCTCCCACCCCTCACTCCTAGTGTCCTGTGTGGCAGAGGGAAGAGGGACACCTGGAGTTCCTGAATGACTTCCTCCAAGATGCTGAGCTGCCCAGTGCATACCCACTCCCCAGGACCTTCCTTGTTCTGCTCCTCTGTGGGAGATAATGGACATTTCCTTTAAAAACTTACTATTCATTCATGGGGTGCCTGAGTATCTTAGGTGGTTAAGTGTCTGACTCTCAGTCTTGGCTCAGGTCATGGTTCGTGAGTTCAAGCCCTGCGTGGGGCTCTGTGCTGACAGCGCAGAGCCTGCTTGGGATTCTGTCTCCCTCCTCCTTCTGCCCCTACCTGGTTGTGTTCTTTGTCCCTCTCTCTTTTTCTCTCTCTCGATAAATTAGGTTTTTATTGATTTATTTAAAGATTTTTAAAATACACTATTTATTCGGTTCTATACATTCATGTTTTCTCCCGCTATCTTTAGTGTTAGATTAAAACCGATGCAGATTACCAAATATTTGTTCATTAAAATCAGTGCTACCAATGAAAAATATTTAGGCCCAAATGTCTGCCAAACCACACAAGGAAATCAAATGGATGTTAAGGTCCATAAATTTCGGTTCAGGAATGCCTGCTTTTATCTTAAAACTCCTCTGGGTACACAGTCCTCCGTGGATATTATCATTTTCCATTTGGCTAACTTTACTTTAGAATGCAAGTGTTCTCTCCGAAGTTTGGTTTCTGACCACCACACGTTTAAAAACCACACTTGGTTCTAACTTGTTACCCTGTCTTGTGGCCACTCCGAAAGGGAGCCCTCCTCCGTCCTCTCTCCTTCCTCAGATATTCTTGTCAAGATGGCCACAAACACCCACCTCCATCTTTGTAAGTGTAGCCACCCTAAAAGGAACAAGGCTTACAGTCCAGATTATTCATGAGTTCGTTGAGGACCAGAGTCCAGCAGAGAGTCCAGCGTGATTTCCCACGTTCCCATACTGCATACAGGGCCTTCCGACTTATCAGAGTACTTCGCCACTAACATCTCTCCTTGAGGAAGTTTCTCATCTGCCCCAATTCCCAGATTTTGTTTTTCTGGAATTATGTATCTAAGTGCCCATGAGACCTCTCCTCTCGGCTGTCTCCCCTTTTCATATACCTCCATCCCTTGTGCAACCCCGTCTTTTCCCTCTGTCCCCTCAAGTGCAGCTCCTCAGGGCTCTTGAATCCAACCTCTAAGCCTCTCTTGGGAATATTTTAATAACCTTCTCTGTCAGGACCCAGAAAGGATTGGGGTTGACTAACGGGGACTATAAGGAGCTGTCCTCAAAGTCCAAGCTATTATCCTGTGGGACAGCACTCAGAATCATCAGTGGAATTCAATTAGGCACACTCAGTGCCGGCTCCTTTTACTTATCCCGGTCTGAAATCAGCCTCTTTCCCCCCTTTAGAGCTCTGGGCTCACTAGGGTCACTCTTTTAAATAACAAACCAAGCAGCCACACCATTTAGCCACAGCGGGAAATCTTTGCAAATAAAATTGTTGCAAATGGCTGGTTGTTTTATGAGGATGACTTTTTCCTTGGCCTGCTGCTCACGTCTCTGCAGCAGCAGCAGCAGCAGCAGGAAGAAGCCTCCTCGGGAGGCATCTGGGAATGACCCAGCCCGGGGATGACAGCAGGAATAGACTCAGGAAATGGCTTCTCCTCTCACCTTCTCGAAAACCCAGAAACACGCACAGGCCCCGTCCTCCCCAGAAGCGTCGTAAGGGGAGGTGAAGCTCTCCTGTATACCAAACTTCCATGTGAAGGAAGTTGATAAGTCTAGATTTAGGGGACAAGGAGTGGACATTCTGTTACTGCCGAAACCCAAAGAGAGACACACGTTGGAAGCGATTGACTTGTTAGTTACCAAAGGAAGTGGTGGTGGGGGTGGGAGGGTGGTGGTGGTGGGGGTGGGTTGGGGGTGTTTTAATGACAGGTAAGCATTCTCAGAGAGGTTCCTTGAAATGAACATTATTTACCAGGCATCAATCCAAATCCCTTACTGATAACTCCTTAGCTCCTTGAGACTTGGCCGGGTATGGTTTGGGTGACTATCTCCAGATAGGCTCCAGGCTGCTGGACAAGGCTTCTTAACAAGGTTGCAAGAGAAATACAGACACACAGTTAAACTGGAATTTTAGATCAACAGCGGCAAATTCTCTTAGCAAAAACCTGTTCCCAAATATTGCATGGGACATACTGATACTAAAAGATAGCTTGTTTATCTGAAATTCAGATTTAACAGGGCTCCTGTATGTCTTTCTTTCTGTCTTCCTATCTTTTTTTTTTTTTTTTTTTTTTTTTTTGCTAAATATGACAACCCTACTTTGTACACTAATAAGAATTAATTTTCTGTTGGATCTTTGTAGCATTCATTTATGCCTTATTAGTAAATGTAGTACAGTGCCCCATACTGTTGCCCAAGACATGCTGAGAGAGAGTTTTATTCCAACTGGGAACTTTATTTGATTGAAAGAATTGAATAATTTCTTCTGTCACGTATTCTCTAAGTGAAGGATCTTAGTTCCTGAGAAAAGTCTT